TAAATAAAGCTTATTTTTTGTCACAAAGGCATAGTCCACTGGGAATCAACAGCTTTCATTCTGAGGCAGCTTTGGTTTAAAAAAATACCACAACATATAGGGAAGTCCAACTAGGCTTTTATGTTAGTATATTCTTACATTAACTTTTAAGCGAAGGTAGGAAGCCATGCTTACACTTATCAGCTCCTGCCCCCCATGGCTCCAGAGCGCCGCAACTGTTTCAGTCCCAGCAGTAATACTTTTTAGACCTTCCAGCTCTCTTTAATGTCAGGTCATATATCACCCTCCACCACTGCCTCTGTTAAACACACTACTCAGGCAGCAAGCCTGCATGTGCACAGGCAGCAGTTTGCAAACCAGCCAGAATAATTTCCACTCCTTTTTAAGCTACTATTAAAATGTGCCTGTTTCTGTGAAACAACTGCACGGGTTTAAAAGCAACTTCTTAGGACAACTTTGATGCATGTTATAATGATCAGACTTTTCAGAGGATCCCCTTGCAGTTCATGATTTTATCTTAATTATATTCCTATTTAAAAGCTAAGTTTGCAACCAAGAAACTGAAAAAAAAAAAAAAAAATAGAGCGAGCTACACTGCGAGGAACTTTCTGCTAACAAGGGCAAGTTTCTTGGATTTATGTCCTGGCGATCATTTCCCCTGGCTTTGCTCCAACACAGTCACACGTGCAAAGTCTGATATGACACTTTTGGGCCCTGGGAGGGCTTTGCACAGTTGCGCAGCAGCCCCACACCTCAGCAGACAGACCCCCCATCTGGAAGGACAGGCTGCAACCGCTGGGACCATGCGACTGTGTTGGCAAAGGTGGTCTTCTCCAGCTAAGGCCTGAACATGAGTCCATACCTGATATTTCTGACATGTTGCAGGAGAGAAACCCCTGATGCTCTTCCCTTCCCTCCTGTTTACCCAAATTTTTTCACTGCTAGCCAGAGCTACAAGGGTCTACAGGTCCGTCACAGCTGCAAGTGCTGGTACTTTGACCAAGTGACAGCAGAGGTTTCAGCCCAGCCTCCCCTCAGGTATTTTTTAGGATGCTGAGATGAGTATAAGCCTCATCTATCTTCCCCAGGAGCCTTTATTTTCCAGAGAAGACAGGGCTGTTGATGTCGAGAGATTATTTCACCCAGGACTGTGCTCTGATCCTTTGGGTATACACCATATTTAGTCTGTTGCTGAGAGGGGGTTGTTTCGGTATTTTGTATTTGGCATGTTGATGGGAATTCCTAGAGGATCCTAGCTTTCCCTTTTTGGGATGTCTCCATCCACAGGTCTCACTGCACAAGGCTGTTGGATACTAACAGGGGAAGGAGGGGGGACAGCTGAGGACTGAAGGTTTGAGGGGTGTGAGGAAGGTTTGACGAGGACCAGACGACTCCCTAACCCCTGCAGGCCTGGCTCCCAGTGCCCTGCCCCCCTCGCCCCCCCAGCACACAGTGCTTGCTGCCTCTTCTTTCCACTGCATCCCGGGGACTGT